GCCGCGGCTCCGCGCCCTGCAGGAGGAGCGCAGTTACAGCCCCACAGGCCTCTCAGGCACCCTCGGTACGTTCAATATATAAGCATGGCAGAAAGCCGTCCTGCCCCGTGCTGCGCTTGTGTAGGCTGATTCCTCACCCGTGGAAGTGCCGGCACTGGTATGCAGAGCTCATCTCTGTGTTTTTCCGGTCAGCCTCACATTGGTGAATCATCCTGCAATAAGTAAACGCATCCAGGGCAGTTTAGTTCCTCCCTTTAGTCGGCTGAATCCTGATCCTAAGAGCTGAGGATGTAGTTATGCATCTCCCTTGTTTTTGTAACTGTCTGAGGTTTGTAATAAAATATGTCTCAAAACTTCTCTTGAGGGACTCCAGCTCCCTGCAGCTTGGCTGGATCCTCCCCTTGGGTTGTGCCTCATCGTTCAGGTCTGGCACTCTGTGTCTGTCTCTGCTTCCAGACTCAGACTCCCATTCAAGAAAAAGTTGTGCTGGCGATGGCAAGAGCAGAGTCACTGTTCTGTCTGCTCCCTCCTGTTTCCCACAGTGGTGTGCCCTGACTGTTCTGCTCTCTGGAGGGGAAGAACCTTGCCCTGCCAGTGCTTGGGAACCCTGGGTGCCCATGGGCATTGCTTCATGGCAGCCTGCTTTGGGGACACCAGATTTTGTCCCTGCATGGTGCAGAGGCAGGTGTGTGGTTTTCTGGGACCCTGGAGCCCAGGATGGCCTGGTCTGCTGCTGTTCCTCACATGAGAAAATAAAGTTTTAGGATGCCATGTGCTTGCCTGGCCAGGGCTGCCCCTAAGGACCCCTTTGCCTGTAGTGAGTGTTGTTGTGTAATATTTGCTACTACTTTTTTAATCTCCTACTTCTAGGCTGTGAGCTGACTGCCAGTACCAAATCCTACACATTTCAGGTGGATGAAGAAGACAACTTTGACCACATTTTAGCATTGTCTACGGTAAGAGAAATGTTAATTACTGTGCTTGTTCTCTCTTGTAGTTGCCCATATCCTTATGCCCCTTTTCCAGGCTCATCCTCCTTTCTTGGCTGGGCTGGATCAGGGGACTCCCTTGGCTGAGGTCCCAGGACTGGCTGCTCTCAGGGCACGACACAGAGTGGTCACAACTATCCATCATACAGAGGTGCTTGTGCAAAGCCTGTGGTGGCAGGAGACTGCTGAGTAGGGGAATGCTCCAGATGGTGAAGAAAAAAAAAATTCCCTTTTATTTGACCTTGCTGGAGCTTCACACCAGATCCACCCCACCTGGGTCTCTGGCTTGTTGCTCCCCAAGCCCAGATAGGTGCAGGGCTTCATTCCTGGCTCTTCCTGGGGATGTTTTCTATCCTGGGAGCACAGAACCTGTCAGCATGGATCAGATCAGCAGAAAATGCAGCCCACATTGCCATCCCTGTAGGTGACAGAGCTGTCTCTGGGGCAGTCAGGGGACATTTGCAATGGGGTTGTTCAGTGCTCTCCCTGTCTTGTGGAGCAGCATCCCCACACCTTGCATGACATCTGAGCTGGTAGCATTGCTGTGGGTTCCTTGTCCTATGGAGAGCTCAGGCTGTCCCAGATTGTCCCTTGGGAGAGCATTTGTTCACAGTCTCCACTCCCACCCAGGTCTGCCTCACTGATGGTGCCAAGGACGAGTGCAACGTGGTGGAAGTCGTTGGGCGAAACCACGAGAACCAAGAGATCGCTGTGCCTGTGGCAAACCTGAAACTGTCATGCCAGCCCTTGGTAAGAGGCTGATTTGAGGACTCAGGGGTGGATGGCTGCAGGGAACAGGATCTTGGATCTGCAGCTCACAGCAAATGCCCTGGGTACCCTTGGCCTGGCTGCAGGTGCCCTCAGATGGACATGTTTAACTGGGCCAGGTGCTGTACTGGGAACTACAGGAAGTTCTGCTTTTTGCCTCTGCCCCTAACTCAGCTCCATCTCTGCTCTTTGCAGCTGAGTCTGGACAACTTCAAGCTGCAGCCTCCAGTGACCTTTCGGCTGGCAGCAGGCTCTGGCCCAGTGCACCTGGCTGGCTGGCACAGGATCAGTAAGGACTGAGGGTGGGGGAGAGCTTGGGAGGACTGAGGGGGATAAAGGGGCTCCAGTGTCAACAACATCCAGGGAGCTGCTGGGTGCTGCCTGGCATGCATGCTGTCCCTCCTTTGTGCTGGTTCCCCAGGACCCATCTTGGAGCAGGGATTCCTTCCCTACCATAAGGCCTTGCATGGGAGAAGGGGTCTGGATATCACAAACTGTCCCCTTTTTTCATGTCTGCCTGTCACCATTCCTCTCTGAGACCTCCCTCCAGCTGGGATGCTGCTTATTTCCCACTATTAGCTGCTGTGAAAGTGCTTCAGAGCCCCTCAGGCTGCTCTGCTCCTGGGGTGTCTCGTGGGCCAGCTGTATTTGCACAGACGTGCATTGGTGAGTAACAATTACTTGTGTGTGTGTCCCAGTGCACAGGGAAGATGCTTCCTTTGAGGAGGACGATGACTTGTCTGAGGAGGATGAGGAGGATGAGGAGGACCTTCCTCCTATTATGCCAGCCAAGAAGTAGGAGGAGGAAGGAGTAACTTGTCTCCAGGCAAGGTGAGGGGCCAGGCTGCCTTGGAGGAAGGATCTGGGTGGCTGTGATACTGGTGTGGCAAGTGTGGGTGGAATGTGCTGCTCAAGTCTGCTGATCTCACCCTGGTTCTTCCCCTAGGTACTCACTGGGACTTCTCTCCCTGGATGGTTTTTACCTTGGATACCAGTTCCCACGACCTCAACATTTGCTGCCTTTTTTTTTTTTTTTTTTTTCTAAAACAGTAGGAAGTTTGAGAACCCAATGAAACTCAGAAGTGCACCTGTTTCTTTTTTTTTTTTTTTTTTTAATGCTGTTTTAACTATCTGGGGAGCAGAGGCTGCTCCCAGCACTGAAGTGTCTCCTTTCACACAGCCCTGGGAGGGTGATCCCAAAACTGGATGGATGCTGCTGGTGTATCCCCTGTCCCTGATCCCTGTTCTGGGAGCTAGGGATGGAGGAGGTGATCTTACACTGTGCCTTTTTGCTGTCCTGGACCTCTGCTCTGTGCACTCCCTTTCCCTGGCTGTGACACACTCAGTCCTGGCCCCATGTGCAGCAGATGGATGTAAAGCCAGTGTGGGACAGGCACTTTCACTGATTCTAACGTGTTTGCTTTTGCTTACTCACAGTTTGGAGGTTTTTATACTTGGAAGTATAAAAGTGGGGCCCATGCTCTGTTCTCAGCTGCAGTTATGGTGGGGTGGGAGCTCACAGCCTCTCTGATGTGGGGGAGGTTCTGGGTCAGTTTGCATTGTAAAGAACTGTTTTTACACTCAATAAAGATCTCTCAGGCATCGGGTCTGAAGGAAGGTCCCTGCTGGCTGCAGGTTCTTCCCATGCACGTTTCAGTGGGGCAAGTTTGAGCTGTGACCTTTGCTGGGGAGTTGTGTCCCCCTGGCCTGGGTACCTGGAAGGGTTTGATCCTTTCTGCACTTCAGCCAGGTGCCATTTCTCACCCATGGTGGCTGGTTCTGCCCTTAAATGTTTCTCTGGCAGTTTCTCTGCAATCAGTCTTGCATTCTTGGGCCATGTCAATGCCTGTCCCAGTCCTCCTTGCCTGAGACACTGGCTGTTGTCCCTGAGAAGCACCATGGACTGTTCTGTCATGCTGGCTCTGTGGGTGCCCTGGGACAGTGAGTTTCTCAGTAGCCTGGATTCATGTAGGAAATCCAGGGTGGATCCTCAGCTCAGGCTATTTTCTAGATTATGTTTCTCTCCTCTGGAACTGCTGCAGCTCCTTTGCACCTACTCACTGTTTCTTTCTGGCCTCAAACAGACCTTGCTTAGCTCTCAGAATGAGGCTTCAAAGCCCTGAGCAGCAAAGGGAAAAGGAGTGAAGAAGAGCTGGCTCTGGGGAGATCTTCCTGTGGCATTTCAGTGCTTAAAGGGGGCTTTGTAAGAAATATGGGGATAGATGTTTTAGCAGGGCTTGTTGTGGTGGGACAAGGGGTAATAATTTTAAACTAAAAGGGTTTATTAAAATCAACTATAAGGAAGAAGGGCTTTTTACCACCCTTGGAGGTGGTAAAACAATGGCACAGATCACCCAGAGAAGCGTTAGATGCCCCATCCCCAAAAACATTCAAGATCAGGTTGATCAAGGCTCTGAGCAACCTGATCTAGTTAAAGATGTCCCTGTCCATGGCAGGAGGGTTAGACTAGATGGCCTTTAAAAGTCCCAAAAAATTCCATGTCTCCAAGACCACTGGCATCCCAGCCCCGGGGAACGCGATCTCGGCTGCCTGGGGGGCACCAGCCGGCTCGGCGGAGCTGGAGCTCGGCAGCAGCGCGGGGGAGGATGCGGGGCTGCAGCGGCGGCGGGGCCAGCGCGGCACCGCCAGGGGGCAGGCGGGCTCTGCGGGCCCCTCCGGGGCACCGCGACCGCCGCTCCCGCTCCGACTGCCCGGCCCACGGCCGCCCTGCCCGGCAGGGTGCGCAGGGCATCCCGCCCTGCTGCTGCTCCTCTCCGGTGACAGGGCGGCTGTGGCTGGCAGGGCTCCTGTCGCCCCCGCCATCCCCTGTGCCCGGGGCTGGCGCTCGGTGCCCGTGCCCACGGGCGCCACAGGATCTCCTGGCAAACCCTGTGTCCCTGGGAGGTTCCTAAGTAGCGGGACGTTCCTGCAGCCGAGCTGGGTGAAGGGAGGCGGTGGCATCTCCCTGTGGGGCAGTGGATATTGGAGAGGTGTCGGTGGGCACACACACCAGTGCCCTGTGCTGATGGCACAGGAAAGGAGTCCTGGGCTTTGGATGGAGCCTTGGCTGGGACAGTGCCCAGCCCCTGCCAGGGCTGGCACCCCATCGCCTTGCAGATTTCCCTGGCTATGTGCACCTGGAAGGGGTCAGCGATAATCTGTCTGCCAGACCTTGACTGTGCTTGTGCCCCGAGGAAATGCAGCCTGACTCCAGGGGAACGGGAGCCAGCCGACCATTTTTAACAAGGCACCCTTGGAGGGGAGGGTTGGGGGAGGCAGCTGCTTCCCAGCCTGATGGGGAGCGATGAGTGGAGGGAGTGGGCACTGCTCAGTCCTGGAAGGGTGATGCTGTTGCTTCACACAGTGGAAGAGGCTGTGTGGGCTAACGAGAAGGAGCATTTGGTCTCTTCAAGAGTAAAAGGAGATTATTCTTCAACAGTAAAAGGAGATTATTTCAGGCTGCTGGTGTGTGTACTGCAGGGTGTCTAGGTAGCTGGAACAGAGGCAGGCAGGACTGTTCTGCCAGGGGGCAAAGGTGGCACCATGGGGGACATAAGGGTGGTGGCAGGAGGCTTGACAAAGCTTGTGCACCGCACTGCAGGACCAGCTCAGCTCAAGACCTTGCCACGGATGCTTGCTGGTCCCCAGTGCTGCCATAGGGAATGCCATGGGAATTGGATGCACCCAAGACAGAGGGAGCAGTAGAGGGGCTGGGGTGTGCTGGTACTACCAAGCCCCTTTCTGAGTGACTTTGGGAGGTTTGCTTCCTGCTCCCCAGCAATGTCAGAGCCTTGATGTGCTCAGCTTGGGGAGAGGGAGATAAATGCTGAAATGTCAGGAGGCTGGGAGGGGGGATGCTCGCACAGCACTTAATGGGGAAGGATGGGATTACAGGGGTCACGCTAGGTGAGCAGCTTCCTTGGTGGAGCTGATGGTATCAAAGCAGGTGCCCCCGGCTGCAAATACCTTGGGCAAACAAACAGGGCTGCCTAAGAGCAGGTGGGCTCGGGCATGGCTGGGCTGGGGGCACTCGGTGCTGGTGGGGGGCAGCAGGCTTTCTGTACACAGGGAGTGAGGCTGGGGCTCTGGTGTGGGGCTGCCTTGCCTTCCACGGGGTGAGGGGTAATCCAGTGGTTGTGTTTCTATGTACAGACGGGAGCTCCCCATGCTGGAGACACACCTAAGGGTGTGGAGGTGCCAGTACCTGGGGAGCCGAATGATGCCCCAGTCCAGGTGGCTCTAGGATAGCTCTGGGAGTTGATTTGATCTGAGCATCCCCTCTCTGCTGCTTCAGGGCTCTGCATGCTGGTACAGCTGGTGATGGATCCCTCCCTGCTCTGGCAGCAGTGGGTAACCCTGCCCCTGGCTGAGCCATGCAGCAGAGGAATGGAGCTTAATGTGGAGCTCATCCTGCATGAGGGCGGCTGTGCACCCGTGGTGCCACACACCTCAGCCCTCCCAAACCAGCCTGCTGCTCCTGGTGAGAGGCTCAGGCTGCTTGCTGCAGGGCCTGGCTCAGGTGCAGCCTCGCTGGGCTGGGGCCTGGCTGCCTCCTCCCTCTGGGTGGCTGGGCCAGGCCAGCAGCTCCCAGAGGATGCTCTGATTTCAGAGGTCAGGTCTGAGTTGCTATTTCAGGGATGGAGGAGCAGGATGGGGAGCTGCTCTGCTGAGCGTGGCCAGGAAGTGGTTTTCCTTTTGATGCCCCAGCGGGTCCTGCCCCATCAGAGTTCTGGCTGGGTTTCAACTCTTTGTGGCTTAGACCACGGCCCCAGAGCGGCTGAGCAGCACAGCTGTGACCGTGCTGTAGGTGGGGCTGGTCCCCTGCTCCATGAGCTCCCTGTTGCTGGTTCCCACGCTGGTCCAGGCTAAAGCTCTTTTTCTCTGAGTCTTGGCTGCCTGGGCTTCGAGGGAAGCAAGGGGGACACGACAGGAGATGCAGCATCCAATTAAACTGGGATGCAGCAGCTCTGCGAAGGGGGCACAGAGCCTTGTGGCACCCTGGTGGCAGCAGGAGCCAGAAAAAGGGCCAGCAGGGCCACCTTTAGCTGGGACTGCCCTGATGGTGCGTGTGATGGGTGTCCTGCTCTCTGGAGTGTTCGCTGACTGTGCCATCCCTGCTCCATCCTGCAGCAGTGGGCACGGGTACCTCTGCTAGTGCTTTAGGGAGCCAGGGCAGGCCCGGGCAGAGCTGAGGACAGATTGCAACAAGGGAGGCAGCAGTGGGGTTTGGAAGGGCCAGGCTGCCAGTAATTCCCATCCTCTTCCCATCAATATGCCTTGCAAAGGGAAATGGTGCTGGTGCACTGTGTGGGAATGGCCTTCTCTGCTGGAAAAGCTGAAGCTCAGATCTGGTGTCATCTCCTGCATGCTGGTGCTCAGACACGAGCTGGGTCCTCCCCAGGCTGCCTCAAGTTTGTTGGGAGCTTGGATGTGGGGCTGTACACCCTCTGAGTGTTCTGTGGGAGGAGAAGAGGCTCCTCCTGCTCCCAGTTCCACGGGAGATGTCTGGATTCACACCCTGGCACAGGAGTTAGCTCATGCCCAGGGTGGTGACAGGCTGTGATAATGTGATGTGGACTCGTGTCCCCAGCCCCAGTGCTGCCCAGAATGCAGGAGGGGGCCGTTTCCATGAAGCTGCTGCTGTGGCTGCTGTGGCTTTTTGTTGTGCACTAAGGGCACAGCTGGAGAAGCACGGGATAATGTTGGAGCAGGGGTTGAGTGGGTTTAAATTCACAGACACTCAGACACCTAAAGCAGGTGCTGAAAGTGAGTGTGTTTGGGCCGTGGCAGAGAGCTCCATGCAGGGCAGCCTAGGTTGAGGCTCCCTGAGCTGTCCCCACTGTCCCCTCCTGAGCCCCTGCCCAGCCACCTCACAGCAGGGCAGTGCTGGCAGCTCAGCACCCTCAGGTGTCCTGCCCTCCCACCCTCGAGGTGCAATCTGATCCCTCTGCTCTGGGCTGGCACTGGCACAACTGCCACTACTGCCCACATGTCCCTGCCAGCCTGGTGGCATCCAGGGAACAGGGCCTGCATGG